AGCTGCTTCTTTCTTTCCTTTTTCAGTTCATAGACAATTAAGACTTTTTGAGTTAGAAGGTACCTTAAAGCTCACATATTTGAGTGGGAAATGCAACCAGATGGGTGGAGGAGATAGGGAGCAGAGCCGCTGGAAACCACCAATTATACCAGAGGTGTATTTAAGGAGTTTCAGAATCTTGATGATGCTAGAATTAGAAACATCTTGATGAAAACTAGCCCTCTGGTGTGGTGAGAAGGAATGTGGACAGAGAACTAATGTTTCCATGGAGTATGTTAGTCTATATTTGAGAGAGAGAATGAAAGAGTATCCAAGATCTTGGAGCCCTGATGGTTGTGGGAGAAAGTGAGAGTAGAATGAGTTCTAAGCGATGTGTGTGAAGGGAATTAGGACATGGGAAGGCTGGGATCAGCAGCACCAGGGAGTGCATGAGAATTCAATGTGACAATGAATCCATTTAGAAGGAGACTGAGTTATGTTCTTTATCCTAGACTGGTAGGGGTGGGGAACCTGCAGGCCGCAGGTTCCCCACCCCTGTGACCTAGAGCTTCCTCAATACATTAGTAACTGCATTAGAAGTCATGATGAATAGCTATGGCTTAAGAGTAAATTTCTGATGGTTTCTACAAGAGAAGAAAGCATTCCTGAGACATTACGTCACAAAGGGGACATAGAATATAGGTCAATGAGTAACAATAGCATGCCTGCAAATGAGAGATACCTAATACTCTAGTTTAATCTCCTGATAGAGGCATGAACCTTCTCTCCAACATCCCCCACAACTGCTCCTGGAGCACCATCAATGCCTGGAATTCACTATCTTCCAAGATAAGCATTCCATTTTCAAGGACATCTATTTGTTAGGATGATTTTCCTTATATTGAGTAGAAATCTCTTCTACTTCTAACTTCCACCCACTGATCCTAGGCTATCCACTAGGAGTACTCAGAAGAAGTCTAATCCCTCCTTTCACATAACAGGTCTGAAAATATTGAAGATAGCCGTCTTCCTCACTCCTCCACCATATTCCCTTATAGAAGCTAAACATCCAGTACTGTTTAAGGATCATCATTTAATATGGTTTTGAGTGTCAGCACCATCCTGGAAGAAGATGCCTCAGCTTGGTAATACCCCTCATAAATGTAGCTCTGATCACTGAACTCCACACTCTGGAAGTGGCCCTATCAATGCAGAGGAAAGTAAGACCATGACCTCCCTTGCCCTGAATTCTGTACTTGTACTTCTGTCATGAGTATTTTGTTTTGTTTTCCATCACCATAACCTGCTGTTGCCTTATGTCTGGCTATGTTTCCCCAGTTAAACATAGGGTTGATATTTTCATATGAGTACTTGGGTATGGGGTTTCTTTGTTTTCTGCTGTCTAGCCTTTTTGTTAAAGATAGGCTTCTGGGGGCAGCTAGGTGGCGCAGTGGATAGAACGCTGGCCCTGAAGTCAGGAGGACCTGAGTTCGAATGCAGACTCAGACCAAATACTTGACACTTACTAGCTGTGAGACCCTGGGCAAGTCACTTAACCCCAATTGCCTTAAAAAAATAAAGATAGGCTTCTGATAAGGTGACATCATATAGACTCTGACTTTCTTATAAGTTATTTTTTAAAAATTCATTTCCATTTTTTCCTTAACATTTTTTCATGTAGCTCCTTTTGCTAAAGAATACTTCATGGAATCTTTTGATTCTGCTTGCAAGTCAGAATGTTCTACTTAGTTGGACTGTGATTTCTTCTTACATTCTTTAACAGTTGCTTCCTGTACCGTTGTTTATGTCACAGCTACTCAAATCCAAGTCCAAAATGATCCCTTTCCTTGAACTTGCAAAAGCTAATAGAGGAAGTAATCATCCTGATGAGGTATTATACCAATCTGGAGCATCTTGGCAGAAGCACTAGATTTTGAAGTCAGAGAATCTGTATTCACTTCCTTTGATCTACTACTGCCTGTATAATATTGTGCAAATTATTTGATCTTTGTGGGCCTTAGTTTTTCTCTTGGTATAATATTGAGCTTTTCAGTTGTCATTCAGTCACGTCCAAATTTCTGTGACCCCATTTGGGGTTTTCTTGGCAAAGATGCTAGAGTGCTTTGTCATCTCCTTCTCCACCTCATTTTACATATGGGGAAACTGAGGCAAACAGGGCTAAGTGACTTGCCCAGGGTCATGCATCTAGTAAGTGTCTGAGGCCAGATTTGAACTCAAGATTAGTCTTCCTGATTCCAAGTTCAGTGTTTTACCTACTGCGCCACCTAGCTGTTACAAGGTTGAGCTACATGGTATCTAAGGTCCCTTTTAGCTCTAACCTTGGGAATTCCCTATGGATTATCAAAGTTTCCTGTTATCATTATTACTACTCTTAGCCTTCATTTATACATCACTTCAAGTCTGACAAAGCTCTCCCATGTATTATCTAATTTGAAGCTCATAATAACACTAGGCAGCTAGGTGACACAGTGGATGGAATGATGGGTTGCCTGGAATCAGGAGATCTGAGTTCAAATTTAACCTCAGACATTTACTAGCTGTGTGACCTAGAGCAAGGTACAACTTATGTTTGCCTCAGTTTACTCATCTGTAAAATGGAGATAATAATAACACCTACCTCCCAGGGTTGTTTTGAGGATCAAATGAGATAATAATTTTAAAGCGCAGTGCCTAGCACACAGGAAGCACCATATGAATGTTAGCTATTATTATTATCGTCATTACAGTTTTACAGATAAGGAAACCAAGCTCAGAGAGGCTAAATAATTTGCCCAGGGTCGCACTGCTAGTAAGTGTCTAAGGTGTATTAACACTATATTTGACACATGCTCAGTTCCATGCAACCAAAGCCAATTCTGTCCATGTGTATGTGTGTCTACACATACATACACGTATATACACATACCTATATATATATATACCTATATAATACATCTATATGATGTGTGTGTGATAATCACACTTACATATCCAGTAAAAGGTAATTTTTCAAAAGTAAATTTGCAAGTGATATGTCTTTTTACATTTAGCAAAGATATCCAAGAGCCAAATTTGTGAGCTGTGTAATACAAATATAATTTTCCCTTAACACATCTGATTAATTTGTTTTCTTACCTTCTATAAATTACTGAAGGTTTTATGACTTTTGATAAGTTGGGTATTCTGTTCACAGAATGTTTCAATATTTACTTACTAATTTGTTGTGCTTATTAAGCAGGTGGGGCCAATGTATTTATGAGCTAAGAATTAGCCCATAAAAATGAATTGAAGAATGAGGAAAATATCATTAGTTGGACTCTTACCATAATTCAAGCCTCTCTGCCTTGAATTATCTCCCTCAACTTTTTGCTAAAATTCCAACATTGGCTTATCAATCTTCTGAGACTTTCATCTTCAAGAGTGCCTTATTAACAAGGCTTATAACCCCAGGTCACTCTTTAAAACATTCCAAGCTGCTGTCTCAATGGATATTAGCTGACAGCTAAGAGTAAACTGCCTCTTACTCCGGGCTGGAGAGAGAGAAGAAGGAGGAGACTTTTCAAAAGAGGAGAGGAGGAGGAGAGTGCCAAAGATGCACTCACCTCCTGGGTAATTTTGTCCGCAGTTGGCCCTGATGGTGTATAAAGCAATAGATTTTAAACCTTCACTATTTAGAGAAAAATAGATTCACAAATTGCCTCCAATGGAAAGTATGTCTATCTTCTTGCCATGGAAGATTCTAGCATTTTAAAATAAAGAAAACAACTAATACTTGCATAACAATCACTATAGTATGCACATAACTATACTAAGCCAGTGTTCAGATAGGTTTCTGCATTACTGCAACTGTCTTGAAGTTTTGAGAAACCTCTGTTCTAACAGTGAAAGCTCTTAAGTCCTGTTGTAACCAAGTGCCTTTTGAGTATGTGGAAACGAAAATTGAAAAGGGATAGGCATTTTACATTTAAATGGGTTTAACATAAATGTGCATTAAGTCATTTCATGGACGATTGCACAAATATCTTTAGCAAACTTAACACATGTGTGCACAGATACAGTAACCATTAATGTCTGCAGTATTTGAGAAATGAGGTGCAGATCCAATTGGAAAAAAAAAAAACACCTCTAGGTCCCCGCTGAAGAAAATGTAATAGGGCTCTCAGGGACTCACTTTAATAATATAACAGCATCTGCAATGTCTGGCCAGACCAAAAGAGAACAGAGTATATGTCACCGAGAGCCGATTTAACAAGAAAAAAAAGCATTTCCCCAGAGTACCTAAGCTCCCCCAACCTCCCACAAAGTAAATTGAATTTTGGAGGTCACACCTTGGGCAGGTTACCAGAGCGAGAAAGCTTAACATTCTTTATGTCATTTGCCCTGGCAGGTTAATACTATTCTAACCATCGTCTCTACGGAAGGTTTGCCACTGAAACCATAACACTTTTGAACTATCCAGGAAATGCCAATGATTCTGAGAAGACAGATGCACGGGACAATGCTATATACAATAGTGGTTGCTCTGGGGATCCCGATCTACTTAGAAGACTTAAAAGGGAAGAAGCCATTGTTCGGAACTCTGATTATGTGCAGAGGACTCCGATTATGCCCGGGGGAACAATCAGCAACCACGTTTTGCAAGTTTCTAAGCCACAATAGAAGAGTAAAGGGTAGGGTGGGGAAGATAGAGCCAGGCAGGCAAGCAGGTAGTCAGAGTTAAGACACGGTTGGTTTAAACGAGACCCAAATATGAACTGGTAAAAGAGAGAAAGAAAGGAAGTGTCCATGTCAAACCAAGACGAACTATCTGGTGGTGTTTTGTTTTATTTTATTTTTTAATTGAATGGGATCCTGACTCAGAGCTACAAACCTCCTGTTGAGGCGTGGTCATTGTACTGTCCTGGGGATTAAGGGCATCCAGGGTTTGTTGTGGGGCTTTTTCCCCCTCCTCGAGCGAAAGCAAGAGGCTTTGGTGTGCACTGCTTCTTGGCATTGCCACACCAGGACACCTCTGCAGCAACATGTGGACGGGTTCAGAGACTGTCTCGAGGAAAACTCTAGCTGGAGTTCCGAGTGGGCACACACTCAATATGGGAAAGCTCTAAATTGCCCTGGAAGGAAAAAAGAAATCTCTCGGGCCTTGAGCCTTGAACTTGGCGGCTCCTGACATTTACAGTCAACCTCCTCCCCACAAATACATTCTATCATTCTCTCTCTCTCTCTCTCTGTCTCTCTCTCTCTCTGTCTCTGTCTCTTTCTCTCTCTCTCTCTCTCTCTCTCACACACACACACACACACACACACACACACACACACACACTCCTTTCTACTTGCCCTGACAGCGCGCTCTCTACTGGGCGTTGCATCCCAGCCCTGGGGAGAAGAGATGAGACCCCCCACTTCCACTATTACCCCCCCCCCACAGCCCCGCTTGTCTCTCGGAGGTATCTCAGAAAATAGGACAGCTCGGAATAACCGAAGGGATCCGAACACTCCCTTTACCTAGCAGAGGTCCCAGATTAACCTAGACAATTTGAACTGACCTTTTCTGCTTTTGCGCTCCCTAGGGAAAGACGCCTTTACTTACCAGAGTCGTGCATCGGTTCCAGCCTCCAGCAACCCGCTGCCCCATCCCACGAATGCACACTGCGGTTCCCCTAGAGTGTGCAATGCGGAGCCCAGCCAGCGCGCGGCCGGAGGCCGGGAGGGGAAAGGAGGGGAGGGGGAGTGAAGAGGAGGGGAGCGGAGCCCGTGGAGGCGGGGGGCGCGGGAGGAGAGGGTGGGGGGCTGTAAGGGGCACGCGCTGTCACTCCCACTTCGCCCCCTACTTCCAGAGATGGAACATTCAGCTGGCCAGCTTTCCAGCCTCTCGATTGCTCGGGGCCAATCACCAAGCGGCTGGAGAAGCCGAGCCCACCACCGGGCTTTCTTATTGGCCCGGGCCAACAAAACCCAACTCCTGAATAGTCAGCTGGGGAAATCAAAGTAAACTCGAGCTTCTGGACTGCGAGCTCCAAGTGCCTTTGGGTCCCGGGGCAGTTTGGGGAAGGGTTTCAAGGTGAGTTAAATGGCTTTGAACTGTTCTCTTGGCCTGTGCTGTAGCATCCAGCGTCAGACCGCAGAGCCTGTCCTGCCTAAAGAGAAGGGATCATGGGACCTTCCCTGGGAGGCAGTTCCCAGTGATCTTTTATTTATAGCACTGTTTTCTCAGGTTGCATTACTCCTTCCTGTGTGGAGACTATCCTTACTCATTCAGTACCTCGACCAAGTGCCTTTGGGAATCTTCGGGAAACGGTAGAGCATCAGGAAAACCACGCGCTGTCAGGGAAACCACTCGTTTGAGAAACAGGCACTTGACGAAATCCCAATTTCACTTAAGTTGATATAACTAAAATTCACTGAACATAGAAGAGTGCGTGCAGAGGAAGCAGTTCCAGTTGCAGACGCCGTGGGCACGGTCAAGACCGGTTTATTTTTACAATTATCACATAGAAGCGATGGGATACGGTGTGTTTGCTGGGGAGGGGGTGACACCAGACAGGAGAGCTGGTGAAAAGCATTTATTGATTAGGAAACTAGCAGCTGGGGGCAGAGGTTGGCTTTCTCCCTCCCGCCTCCCTGGAGGCCACGCACAACCCTCCTCCAAATAAACTTGGCACAGTCTTCTCGCGCTGGATTTTCACCTCGATGTTGGAAATCATTTTTTCCTCCCTCCAGTTTGCCAGTGTGGAGCCCAGACCCCGTATAGTTGAGCCGTGTCTGAACAGAGACCTCCCGGAGGGGCTGAGGACCTTCTTGAAGTTAACGAGATCTCTTATCCTGCCCCGCCCAACGAATGAGCCCTGGTGAAACTAATAGAAAGTTTTAGGGAAGGGCTGAAGTGAATCCCCAGAAGGAACTGACTTGGGAAAGCTGAAAGCTGGAGGAAGGTCAGCACAAAGGAGGCGGACCTGCTGTTGGCTGGGTTGAGTGGTAGTCAGAGAACTCAGCAGGTCCCCTATCATTCAATCCTTTAAGCTATTTACAGAGTTTATGGAGGAAGACATTCTCTCTTTAACCAGACACGGAATCATAGAATATCAAAACTGCAAGGGCCTTGGAGTCCAACCTTCTCATTTTGCAAAAGGGGAAACTGAGGTTCAGGAAGGTGGAAGGTATTTTGCCCAAGATACACAGCTAAAAAGCTGCAAGGCTGAGTCTTTTTAAAAGTCCAGGGCTCATGCTTCTTTTTGGCCCTCTTGTTGTCCCTAAATATTCCAATTATTTCCCTTCTCTTCCCTGGAATTGATGGAAATAAGTTAGATTCAGCATTCATAAGAAGGAAAATTAGAAGGCTGCCAAATGGAAAACATAATTCTTTGATTCAATAAATATGCTGGGGAGGGGGAAGCTCCTAATAACCTGCAAGAGAGAAGGAAAGAATATTATATGATACTGTCTATTAAAATAGAAGCTCACTGAAATCAGGGGCTTGGTAATCTAGTGCCTGTCCAATGCCTTACCCAGGATCAAGGTGAAAGTAGGCAAGAATTATTACCTGGAAGCATAGTACTAATGAAACCAAAGTCAAGGATAGCCTTCCTCTTAATGCTCAATTAGTTTCCTACAAATGAAAAATTTTATTGTATTGTTAGGCCAAAAAAGAAAAAAAAAACTATACGGCCTGCCTGTCCCACAAATGTGCATAGTTCTTTGGTCACAAGAGAGATGAAGTGGAAGCATTTGAAGGGTTCTACAAAACTCATCATTATCTTTGGGAAACAGCTAAATTACTTCTTTTGAAAATTATTTAGTATACTGTAATTGTATTTTTAAAAGTATTCTGTCCTGAAAAGTTCTAGTAAGTTGAACATTGGTTTTCAGGACTCACACAGCAACTTGGGTCATGTATTTAAAGACTGCTATTATATGAAACCTATAATACTTTTGTTCTTTTCATGTGAAATAGCAAACAGGTATGTCAGACATTGTGCTAAGACAGATATCGGGGAAATTCTTAGAGTCACAAAATACTGGAGTTCCATTTGCTATTTAAAAGGTCTAGAAAATAAGGAATTCTTCCTTTTTTTTAATTTTTAGGCAATTGGGGTTAAGTGACTTGCCCAGGGTCACACAGCTAGTAAGAGTGAAGTGTTTAGTATGAGTTCAGATTTGAACTCAGGTCCTCCTGACTCCAGGGCCAATGCTCTTTCTTTGTACCACCTAGCTGTCCCAATAAGGAATTCTGCTAGGGTTTCTGCTGTGTGTTTCTTCCTTACAGAGGAAATTTATAGGGTAAAACAAATAAAGGAAAGGTCAGAAAAATATTTATGAAATAATAATATCTATATCTATGTGTTATATGCATGGAGGTATATGTATATAAATATATATATACATTCATATATGTATATATTATCCCCCTATGATTAAAAAAAACCCTAATACTTCTACTCCCATGCATGAGAAGAAAGAAGAGAATATATGAAGCACAGGAGTTATAGCTCCTAGAGTTCAGAATTTTTTATTCTTACCTTTTTTCTTTGTGTTTCATTCTTCTACTTGCCAACCTCTTGACATTAGTTGTTGTCACTTTGACTCCTTCAAATTTCTTTTCTTCCTGACTCCATTCATGGATTTTTTCTTCTATCTTGTCTGTGAACTCTTTCTAACTCTTATTAATTGGGACAATGTACTCTTATGGTGGTGGTGGGGTGGGGTGGTCCACTTAAGGTTATAAAGACTTTCCTCTGGGTCTTTCAACATTACATAGATACCAAGACGGTTTGTGAGCCATTCACCAGTTATCCTGTGTTCTCACTAAGTAATTGGCCCACTATCTTTTCTGATCATACATTTCCTAGATGTTACTTTATACATTAATGTTTGCATACATTGTTGGTAATATTCTTCAGCCAATTTAGACCCACAATGCATATTTTCATTGCTCCTTGAGTTGCTGACAATTTTGTTTCCTGAGAGATGAGGTACTCCATGATTTATAGTCATATAACACTACCAGGAGAACATTGGTCTTAAAAAGATGGATTTTTTCTTCAGGGAACAACCTTAAATCATTGAGAAAACAACACAATTTCCCAAATATAGTTTAGCCAGCTGTCTTCCTCCTATTCAATATTAAGCCTACATCATTATTCTTCTATAGTGCCAATTTAAGAGCTACATGCTGATGGACCTTTTCAGTAGGCAGTTTAATCAACTGCTTATTAATTATAGTCTAGATAAAAGACATTCTTTAGCCACTTGTTTTTTCAATGTAGATTATTGAGTTGATCTCTCTGAGTGATTGTGGATCTCATTTAGGCGGCTGAGTAGTACCCTGGAGTTTAATGAAATCAGCATGTCAACTGCAAACAGGAACATCTAGAAGATCTCAACACCTATATAAAAGCTTTATTCCATTTAGACTCTTTACTAGACATTCTTCATAACAGTGGCACACATTTTTGGCAAGCACACAATTCCTTGTTATATGTCTCACTTAATATTGAAGATAAAAAGAATGTAAAAAATAAAAAAAAAGAATGTATAAAATAAAAAAGTTATTGTGATTGAAACTATTAAGGAACCTTAATGGTCTCAGCATATGCATGAAAAGCATCTTGTTGCAGGCTGCCTTTTGCTCTTCTTAAGTGTTTGTTTGTTTGTTTGTTTGTTTGTTTGTTTTTGCAATCAATCAGCAGTCTTCACTTTCCTCTTGCCAATGGACTTCTATGACTCTGGAGGAGAGCAATGCTGATGACTTTACACAACTCTGTCTCACTTAAATCCAGTTCACACACAAGTCAAAATATCACCTCATAATGTCATTGTTCCTCTTTGAGAATGAAGGACATACAACAAACAAGAAACAGAACGGTATCTCTCTTTTTTTGTTCCTTGCAGTCTATTGTAGGACTCCAACAATGTGGTCCACTATATGGTATTATTTTCAAACAATTTGCCCATTCATTTCTCCTATTTTTACCAAGAGCTCATTTGATACATATTCAGTGATCTTTCTCATAGAGATTTTACAGAGATGAGAAAATAAGTGCTGGTAGTTATTGATGTCCTTTCAGCTGACTTTTTTTTTTTTTGGTAATAATAATCCTTAGTTTTTACCTATAAGTTGGCACCTTCCTGTCTTCAGTATCTTGAGACTCAATCCCTCAACACTTTCAAAATTGTGTCACCTCCATCTTAGACTACCAGTACAAATGATCTAGTCCAGATGCTCTTCACACCTTCATCATCTTTAATATCATTCCTGCTTCCTCATCAGGAGCTGAGATGTATGAATCCACATGTGACAGTTGTGCTGTCCTGATGAGCAAGATAGTTTGTTATAGAAATGCTGGAATATTGTTCCATTTTCTATCTATTTGTTAACCTGCTTCTGGTTTCATCCTTAAATTTTCTTAGAATAATCTGAATTAATCCGATCTCTCACAAAGCTTTCTGCAAATTTGCTTTTCTTTCCTCTTCTCTTTGATTTTGTTTGATACTGTGTTATTTTGTTGTTGTTGCTTAATAATGATGACACTGAGCTTATTTAGTTCTCATTTATATATTTAAATTCTTGAAATTTTAAATACATTTTAAATAAATTAATTAAATTTATGAAAACAAATAAAATTTCTTAAAAACATACTTTCAATGCATTTCCTTTCACTTCTCTTAGTATTATGAAGCAATTCTGCTCATAACCATCCACCACCCTCTTCCATAAAGTTTTTCAAGGGTTTATTCTCTAGACCGGTGTTGCTGTGTTCCCTCATCTCAAAAGGAGATCAAGTGTTTACTGATCGAAGGATGGTATACACCAATATGAAACTTTGAGGGGAAAAAATATGACAGAGAACATTTAGAGGAGGAAAAAAGGAAAAAAGTGGTATCATTGTGGACATACACTATAGACTTGGCCAGAAAGAAAGGGAATGGATGATATTTTTTCTTTATACAAATCACAAAATTGGTTCAGAGGAAAGACATAATAATGAAAGGGAACTACAGAAATTTGGCCATGTACTGCAAGTCTCATTTCACTAAAAGCAGAACATTTGAAATCTTGACTCAACATGTCGATAATTTCATCATTCAGAAAATTGAAGAAGCCATGAAGGGAACTACTACCCTGGACTAAATTCTAACCAGAAAAGAAATTTGTATAAGTGATGGACACCTTGGGGGAAAGGGAGCATGACCTCTCAAAATTTGTAATGGCAAAGAAAGGGGGTGCTGATAATAGTTATGCTATGGATTTTAGGAAAGCAAATTTCAAAACCTTCAGAGAAAAGATAGACATGAACCAATGGACAGAAATCCTAAAAACAAAAGTGATTTAAGGGGAATTAAAGACTCTAAAAAACATAAATTCTGACAATACAATTTCAAGGTAGGATATAAAGAGATCAATATGGTTGCACAGAGAGCTTTCCAATGAGCTCAGATTTTTAGAGGACATGAACAAAAGAGGGAGAAAATACATCACCAAAAACAAAAATAAAAAGAATGGAACAGATAAGAATACTGTTGGACAAGCTAAAGACCAAAATGAATTGAGGCTTACCAAAAGAAATTCAGCAAGATAATTTTTTCAAAAATATTTTTGGCATTCATTCATTCATTCATGCTGCAAGCATTTGTTGAACACCTACCATGTACAAGACACTGTACTAGCCTCTAGGTAGATACAAGGATCATTTCTTTAAAATAGTCTCTGGGATCTTAGGATAGCTGTACATCTTAAAAAAGGGACAGCCTGGAGTAACAGCAGTTAATGTGAAAAAGAATTAGGGGTTTTAATGCAGTTCAAGATCAATATGAGACAGTGTTGTAATGGGGCTATGCCTAGAGAAGCTAATTTGGTTTTTCTCAGAATTGCTTCAACACTTCAGGACTTTGATGTATCTGTGGTCCATCAAGACAGGTACTTACTCTAACAGTGCAGACTATAATTCAAGCTTTTACATTGTTTGGTGCTCTTGCACTTCTCCTGCTATACAGGGTGTCCCAAAAGTCTTACAGTAGTTTTAAACTACAAAAGTATAAAATTGCACCATAACTTTTGGGATGCTATACATCTTTCATAAGGGGGCCACACAGCACATTGGGGAACCTCCTCCTGGATCTATTTATATTTTATGGGCTTTTCCTTCAGTCTTCTCCCACTCTCATTACATAACTTTCCCATATCCTTTTCTGGCTGCACATCTCTATACTGATATTTCTTGTACTACTTCTCCTATATAATTTTTTGTTGCTCATTGGGTGTAATCTACTCATATCCACAGTGAATCTTTCTGTTGATGTTTGGCTGACCTACAACTTTAAGTCTTCAGAGACTATGGTATTCTCTGTCTATGCAATATAGAGCCATATAGCATCATTGGAAAAATATGGAGCCATATAAAATCACAGAAAGGAATATCTTTGTTAAAAAGATACACCTTCCCAGCTATCAGGGCAAGAACTTGCTATTCAACAAAAGCTATTGGGAAAACTGGAAAGTTGTCTGGCAGAAACTAGGTATAGACCAACATCTTACACTATATACCAAGCTAAGCACCAAATTCAAACATAGTTTAGACATAAAGTGTGATATCCTAAACAAATTAGTAGATGTAAAAGAAAATACTTATTAGATCTATAAATAAGGGGAAAGTTCATGAACAAATAAGAGAGGTTTACAAGAGATTAAATAGACAGTTTTAATTACATAAAATTATAAAAGTTTTCACACAAGCAAAATCAATGCACCTAACATTAGAAGAGAAGTGGGAAATTAGGAAAACTATTTGCTGCAAGTTTCTCTGATAAAGTCCTCATTTCTAAGATATGTTGAAAAGAGTCAAATTTATAAGAGCCATCCCCTAATTGATAAATGATCAAAGGATCTGAATAGGCAATTTACAGAGGAAGAAATCCAAACTATCAACAGTCACATGAAAAAATGCTCTAAATTACCAATAACTAGAGAAATGCAAATTAAAACAACTCTGAGGTGCCACCCATTAGATTAGCAAAGTTGACAAAAAGGGAAAATGACAAATGCTTCAAGAACTATGGGAAAATAAGTACAGTAATTCACTGATGGAGGAACTGTAACCTGGTCCAGCCATTCTGGAAAG